GATGCAAGAGAAGATGGAAACATTTTATGATTAAGAACTACAATAATGTCTCTGCTCATTTGATCTTCTTTCTTTTGACAATGTAACTGTTGCTATCCAAAGCAACACTGTAACATGGGGGAGTCATCATCACTAACTGCTTGTTCTCTTTAACTCTCTAGTAGTAATATGACCAATATGTCAGAGACCGGGCTTACGAAGACCAAAGGATCACTGACAAATGAAGGCAGAGGAGCTATGCTTCTATTTTTAAGGCCTTTGTGTGACTGAATGGTATAGACTGGCTAAATGGAAATACTTTCAATTATTACTGAGAGGCCAGATCGGCTTGCACTGCATGACGTGGAGCGTCTTCCTACAAAGCACCTTGAATATAGACAAAAGAACGTCCACTAAGACAGCCAGCAGTTAACCTGAATGGCTAATTACAGTGAACACAGATGAAAAACCGGGGGGGATTATTGAACGAGACGCTGGTGGATTATGAACGAGTCTACAGTCGTTTCAACTTGAGATTCTCAGTTCTCACGCTTCTGTGATTCGCTCAGGTCCGGTTACATGTAGCTGATACTTGTCCTTGATTGGCCACAGTTTGTTTACTGGGATCATTAAAGATGCAGTCACCTGCACCTATACTAGGACACATGGAAAAGACAATGGCAAAGACAGCTCTCTACTCTAAAGTCATACAAATACATAGCAGCATCTAAAGTCATACAAATACATAGCAGCATCTGACATCACTAAGACATGGCTGCAGGCTTAGTAGTTATCTATATTTAGAATAGTGGTAGAACGCATCATTTCCAATAGATATAATTACTTTATTGTCATTGCACCACGTTATATTACAGAACCTAATAAACAAGCAACCCAATACATTAAAATGACAATCATTTAAAAAAGACAGATAGTGAGATTTAGCATTTCTGAATTTGAATCTTATAATTAAAAAGAACATAATTACAGGAAGAAATATATATTTTTTTTTGTATTGTCGTAGTCCCTGGTGCAATGACAATTAAGGAATGATTCTTCTTCTAATTGTAGTGCAGTTGGACTACAATTCAATCAAGAAGACTGTATGTATCGATTGGCTCAATCACTAATTATGCAGAACAATTTAAAAGAGCGTTGAGGGGAATATATCCACATCCTGATTCGACTAAACAGCCCGCAGAGTGAATGACTGTGTGCTTCTTACAGCGGGGGTCAAGACAAGTGCGTTCCACCACCACACGGTCAAAACAAAGGATGAGCCCGGTGAACAAAGAATGCTGACTCGGCACTATCCTATCATTTGGACTGAAAGAACAACCACTCTCAACAGGAAACAGAGCTACGTGGTGTCCAGTTTCCTGCAAACAGGACAGGGAAAACATATATTATTATTATGTCCTGCAATGCTCTTCATATGATGCGAGAGCTATTCACATATAACCGCCCGTGTTATTTGAGTCTGTTTGTTTATACACCCAATGTAGGTTAAATGCACACCACATGTTTTCTTTGGCCTCCGTGTGCTGACTGCCACAAGTTGATTGTGTGTGTCCTAGGCTTCTGCTTGTCTACAGTAAGGAGGTATGTGGGCATAAATAAATGATCCAATCTAGTGTCTGCGTCCATGAGTGTGCGCACATGGGTAGATGCGCTGTGTTTGAGTTTGTTGCAGCAACATAAACTGTGTGTCCTTCCTAAATACGGAATGGAAGAGATAAAAGAGAAGGGTCAGGACAAATTCTTTATCTTGTGTAGGCGGTAATACTTATCCTGAGATGTGCCAAATACTAGAAAATAACACTGTGTTTGGGAGGTAATTGCGACTATTCTAGATCAGGGTATATGCAGGAATCCTGAAGTCAAATGTAATACCTTTTAAGACCTTTTTTAAGACCCTTTCCATACATTTTAAGACCTCATCGTCACTTTGAGTTCTAACCGGTTACATTGGTGACACACTTTACCTCACATTTACTATATACAGTATTGATTGTCCTTCCTCCTTATCTTCCAACCATTTGGACGCAAACTTGCATTCCCCATAACGATGTTGTTTAACAACCGGCGTAAACGGACCTTCGCGCGCTATCAAGCAGTGAGCGTGCGATGTCCTGTCCATAAATAAACTACACAGAATCACACTACACACCTACGCAATGATTACATTCAGGCAAACTGTAGAATACAACCTCTTTGGACAATTTATATACTTATTGAAAACAAGCTACAAAATGTAATAACTTGGAAAATGCCGTTTAATACTTTTTAATAGCCTTAATTTTCGCTAAATTGATTTATCAACTTTTAATACTTTTTAAGACCCCGCGGACACCCTGTAGATGCACACTTGAGATTTTATAAAGAAAATGTATAGACAAATATTGATTAAGAATATATTGACATGATTGGGAATGTGACCATAAATAGGCATACATGTTAACTGTCTAAAACTGTTTAAATGCCAAAAGAAACTCATCTCATAACCTTTCATTGTCTTTCCAGACTATAATAAATGTGACTCGCATGCACACGAACACCTGCAAGGACATCGCTCTATAAACCACCCCTGGAGAAAAGAAGAAAAAAAGAATTGATGGATGATATTGATAACTACATTTGATTAAATTACTAATTAAAACATGTGTGTAGGAGATGACAGACACTTTGGAACAGTGCAGTATTGCCATGGCAAATGAACATCTATGTTGAGAGCTCAAGGTTATTTATGGAGGATGAGCCAGCAGGGACATGTTTGGTCAAAAGCAATTGTTTGTTGTAAATCAATGTTGAAGGTAACTAGAGAACATTGAAGTGAAAGAGCACACAGTTATGGAGGCCAAACAGAGAAATGTGTGGGTTTTATAACGTTTATCCCATGTAGTTTTTACAGAAACAAATACATGTTCAATAATGTCACCCTTCTTACGCAAACATCTTGTTATTCTGAGCTGTGAAAAGACTCGCATTTAAATTCAGCAGCCAAAAAGAGGATTGCCATCCCTTTTTATACGTTTGTCAAAATGTAGGTAGAGAGAAGATGAGGAAAACTGTAACGTCTAAAAGGAATTCACATTTTGAAAGAGGCATGCTATTGAAAAGCTGAAAAGTTACATCATTTTCCATCGATCTCCCTGGGTAGTACAGCTCTCATTGAAATGACATTGACAAGAGAAATTACAGAGACTGACATTATCATGTATCAATCACTGCTGAAAGAGAATGAGCAGAGGTGCACATAGGAGTGTGTATACAGCCAATCATTATCTTGTGAGATAATCATATCAGCTCTATGTCCTACTTCTTTGCTAAGCAGTGATTATTTTGCCAAATCCATATACCCAAGTATCAAACCAACTATCCGTGCCATCAGTAAAACCTAGATCAATATATAAGATGTGAAAGACTCAGACTTACAGTATAACGCTGCAGATTGAGTCAAATATCATTCTAGTGCATCTTGAGACTACAATACATGCATTTTGGTAATGTGTTTCATCCAGTAACCAAGTACTAAAAAAAAAGGAATGATGATGTAGCGCAGTGGTTCTCAAACTTTTTTCAATAATGTACCCCCTTTGAAAAAAAACCTGATCAGCGCAAAAACAATTTGTTAGGGAACAAATGCCTATATAAAGAGGTACAGTACAGCCTTGCACCATCAGTGTCTGATTTATTAAAACAACAACCTTGTAACTGAGAAACACTTAAATGCTACATTTCAAATGTTACAATCCATCACTAAATTCATGGCAAACCAATTTCAACATCATGCAATAACACTAAGATGACATTAGTTGCATTGAATTGATCTTTTTAATAAGTTGTACTTAAAATTTAGTGAGAAACATGGGCTTGTGCTTCACTGAGGATCTTTGTCATTCTCTGTGACAGGAAGGCCACTGCAGTTATTACACTTCGCGTTTTGAAATATGTGTAACTGTTAATATAAAACCCACACTGCTCAAATTTCGTTACTTTTCCTAAAATTTGTATATTTATTTATTTATTTATTTATTTATTTATTTATTTATTTTGGGGCGTGGGGAATGAAGAGAAAAAAATATATGAGCATTGTATGAGCATAATGCTGCGCTATACTTTGCGGCCACACGCCGTTGCCAAGCAACACTTATTGTTTAGGTCCTTTGATAAGCAGGCAGTCATATCATTAACTAGAACTAGTTAGATCTGATAGATTTGGACATAAACGCGAGTGAAGTATAACCGGATGAGAGAGAGAGATCAGAGATCAGATCAGCTGCTGCTGACGGAGAACACGCAGCTCTGCATTATCACAGCTCCCCCCGCTGTGACGGACCGTTGAGCGGAGCAAAATACACTAAGAGTTAGACCTAACACACTTAGCTAGTTTATCTACTCTGGAACTAGCTAAACTAGTTATAAATATATTTATTCTTTACTTTCGGTTCACTTATTACAGGTTCAGCGAGCTGCACAAGACTGACGGGCTGTCAGGAGAGGGAGAGGAAAAGAGAGCACCCCGTATATTTTTCCCATTTTATTATCCAGAATTACTGTAAACTTTTGAATAAAGTAGTTAATCTACTATTAGTAGTTTGTTTAAATGCATTACTTATGTTGTTTTTTTCATTAACATAAAATAAATCTCACATACCCCCTGCAGTACTCCAACGTACCCCTAGGGGTCCGTGTACCCCCATTTGAGAACCACTGATGTAGCGTACTCGGAGGACATTGTTTCCCATTTCGTTAAAAACAAGCAATCAACCAGCGTGCCTTTTCTGTGATGTTTCACTTTCATACCAACACAGTAACATTTGAGTGTGTTACTATGGAGACATCGAATGTTGTCGAGTAACTTTTTTCCAACAGTTTTCAGGTGAGCTTTTAGATTTGTTGTTCATCTCAATCTTCTCACAACTTCTACAATGTTTTTTTTTATTGTCTGTACAAGCAGAAATGCAGAAATTCAAATTGGTGTCGCTCATCACAAAACCGTATTTTTCTCCCCCTCTCACCTTGGTGGTGTCATCATGGGAACGTTGATAGCGTTTCCAGCGGCAACCGTAGATCCCAGTGATACAGGACAAACACAGCTGGCGCTCATAGACCTGGAGGGGTTGGTGTTTCACCATGCTCCTTCAGTCAGTCCTGCATCCAGAGCTCGAACATCCCACTGACTATGGGGTATCCTTTAAAAAAACAACAAAAAGCATTTCCAATGTTAACAACATGATTCCGAAAGTGTTGGGACAAAAAAAATCAATCCATGGAACAAACAGTGAAGCACGTCAGGCACTTTGATGGAAAACACATGCTGACCTGAAAAGCATCTGATACAAAGCCCGGCCTTAAATTAAGACCTCGTTACCCCGCGCTAGTTTCCATTGACAACTGACTCATCTATATGATCAAGAAGGAAAAAAAAGAACATTCATTTGAACAGGCCTTTGTGAGCCCACCATTTAGTAAATTACAGTGACCATGAATATATCACAGTCACTCCAGATCTAGGTCAAAAGACAGCGTGCAGGCCCCATCCCTCCCTTTTATGTCAGGCCCAGAAGAAAGGCCAGGCAGAGAACAGGCCAGCAGGCGTAACAAGGATGTTATGCAACAATGACATTTTAGCAAAGCCCTTCAACTTACAGAATGAAAATCGATGCATGCCGCTTTTAACAGTGTTAATGGTCCACGTGCCAACTAGACCTGCGAGCGGTACAAAACCAATTCTGTGTTGCAGTGAACCAAAAAAAAAACCCTCTTTATCAGGAAGAGCAGCAGAGCACCATGATACTTTAAAAATAATAATCAGCACTACTTTTATGCCTTTCTATTTTTAAGTTATTGACAATGGTAGAACGATTCAGGCTGCTTTGGAAGTGAAAACGCAGAGCTACAACTCGGTGCTCCCTTTGAAATGCTGCTGAGTCGTCATTGAGGCTCTAATGAGCTATAATAACAACAACGGTATTACAGCAGTGCTGGCTGTTATCACAAGTTTACCTCACTCTCCTGAGACATGGTGGAGCCCGTTGTGCTGCCTCTGATCAATCTGCGGTTAAAAGTTCATCTTGGTGACATCGAAAGCATAACATTCTGAGTGTAATGAATGGATTATCTCGGCTGATAACAATCAAACAAACATGATAACAACTTTTTATAAGCACGCAATCATGTTCCCTGAAGCATTTACACTGTCGACACCACTTCTTAACAGTTTGGGAAGCACAGCTAGCATGCGGCTAAGTCAGATGTGATGTTTCAGAGCAGGTCTGCATGTTAACTACACTCTTCTTGCTGTAATCTGGCTGTCTCAGACTCTAGGCAGCTGCTCATTAGCATCTGCTGCAGTGGCCATGTTTCCTGTTATTAGCAACTCTGAGGAGGGCGGGCCTGACCCAAGGGTACAATGATTCCAGCCCACCTCAGCAGGACCACAATGCTCTTGACAGACAATGCCTTGAATATATAAATGTTACGTTTTAATCTACCACCTACAAAGGCTTCTCAACATCTTTTGCATTCTCAAGAATGAGAACTAAAACCCCCAAAATAAGATAGCATTTGAGTACTTGCGGTTCCCTCGTTTTGAAGTCAATGGGTTTTGTGATTGGGTTTTTGGTTAGATGTCTGAAATTAGGTAAAACTACTTTTAAGTGATTTGTACGATATGTCAGAATATATTCCAGTCAGATATTTCTGAAGCGTTTAAGTGTCATAAAAAAGGCAGTAGCTAACATGTTGCTAAATGAGGCTACTAAACAGCATCACAGAGAACACAAGACTGTCTTTATCGTAGTAGCAGTGACGTGAAATAATGTGGTGGTTTTGTTTATAGCCCTCCATTTAACCTCTGGTTGTGCTTCTTACTGTACCATTTGCGATTGCATTTACGCTTCAAAAATAATAAAAGTGCTTTTAATATCTGAAGATAAACCAGCTGAAGAATGTGTCGAGACATGTGTTTGACACAGAGAATATTTGCTGCAATTATCCAAAAGAAAAATACAAGTGCAATGCTAACTGTCAGCTGTCATCCCTGCCAGAGAAATGTGTACCAAGCTGAAGGCATTGAAAGAAAAAAACCTGGTTTAAAACAATCTGAAAAATGTGCTAGAAATAATCACATTATCTTACTAAGAGTCTGCATCGCTGTATTCTCAAGCTGTCGTGCAGCCAACCAGGGATTTGAACCTTGATCAGATCAGGAAGGGCTTGACAACAAGCATAGCAATTATCCTTGTCTGATGCGTCTCATGAATAAATCATGTCTGACGGGTTGAGGGAGATCACAGCTTTGTAAGCACATCATTTCCAGCCTTGAATCGAGCAGCAGGGCTCTAAGGAGTCAAGCAGTTTGAAGAAGGTTCGAACAACAGGTGAGCATTTCACTAGACAGACTTTCTGTTTATGACATGGAATATCAAAATGTCCCAGTAACTGTCATGAAATTCATTGTAGATATTAAAAGCACAAAAACTATTTGACCTACTTTTAAGAGAATTATTTTTGAATTCCACTTATTTTAACGCAAGGCACAGGTTTATCATTTGTTCACTAAAAGGTATTTCATTTGGACAAGCTGTTTTGTCAGCTCAGCTTTTTTTCACTTCATAGTTTTATAGGAGTAAATAAACTTGGATACAATTCAAAAAAATGAAAATAAATCCATTGACAATTCAATAAAAAAAAATGAAATATGATTTTTAATTAATGTTTCCTACTGCAGTATGTACACCCAAACACTACATAACATATTCATTTGATTAAATATTCATCTTAGCAGGCCTGAGCTGTAATGATGGGTGTGTGTATGATGCACGCTTCCTAATAACGTACGACAGACCAACGTGTGTATGTGTCTGGGCATGTTGAACAAGACGAAAACAATCGTGCAGCTGACAAAATAAAGCTCCATTTGCGTGTTCATCGAGGCAAAGTAACAACCACTTTCAGCACGTCGTGTTGTCACTTGTTGACAAATCGTAACGTTCAGACCTGTATCCACAGCATGTCGTTTCAGCACAGTGGCTCACGCGGCTTAATTCACAACATGTTTACCTCTTAAATCTTCCATTTGTGCCAGTTGTGTCATTTATATCACAAACTTCACTGCTCCTTCAACTTCACTGCTCATCAAACAGCCAATTAATTTGAAGATTATCATAATTAGAGAGAGCAGCTCTGAGATCACATATTTGTCACCTTGAGATGGAAGAGTCATCCATATTTTACTTCCGAGTTAAATTTGCCCCAACCCTCATCAGAGCTGTATGAAGACAGAAGGAAATGTGCTGCAGTTAATCCTTTTATCAGCAAAGTGTCTGACAGAAACTCATCAGCTAAATGACCCAGAGGACACAATTAAATATTTTATAAACTGTGATGAATTGGCAAAGTTAAAGTTTAATAAAGCATGGGCAATGAGGTTGTAAGATTAACTCTTGAGCCAAAAAAAGCTCAGCTGAGATGGTGAGCTTCACATCACACATTTTTATAAAAGACATCTACTATGCCGAGAGTTTAAACACCATTTCAGATTGTATTAGCGGACTCATCCTATCAGGACTGCATTAGATTAAACAGGTGAAATCAACAAGTGATCAAAGCTTTGCACCGCAGCACGAGTAGCTTTCGTAAAATCTTTGCGTCTGTCACAAGTTGTCTGACTCTGAACAAGAAGAGATGATTTTTTTGAGGGTTGCATGAAAACCCCTAAACGGCTGTTGTCATCCCCTTTTCTGCTGCCTCATTTCCTCCAATCACAGGCACAGAGAGGGAAAACAGTCTGCAGGGGAGGAAATGCTTCAGCACTTTCCCAGCCGAAAACAGTGTCTTCTCCTGACCAGGCAACTGAGGGGAAAAATACACGTCCGCATACAGTATAAGTGCTGTTTCAAGACCCTTCTACAAAATGTGTCTGATCTGATGACTTTAACATAATACTACGATGTCAATGTTTCCATTGTGTGTCCAAAACTCAAACATTTAACTCATCTTCGAATCATTCTGAGAATCGACATGCACAACAAATTAGACTTCTGCATTACAGTTACACTTGGGTACCATACACAGTATTAAATGAGACACTCAGCTAAATTGTTCAAGACTGTTGTGTTGATAAGCTCCAACAATTCCGGTTCTTTTTTTGGTTTGCCGTCATTTATTATCATGCTGCAGCATCTCCTTTACTCTGTGACGGGGATGAGCTCTTTCAACCCTCATTGTTAATGTAATTGCGATGAAAATTAGTGAAAAGCGAATAATTCATAATTAAACCCGTCGAATAAGGGTTAACAGAAAACCGGTATATTTTGATCTGCTCTTTTAGTATATCTCATTCCACTGTTTTACACAAACACATTACTAGCCCGGCTTATTTCCAGATATCTTAACATTTGGCAAAATCTTGTAAACATAGCTTCGGCATGAGTCAAAGCAGCCGCCCGCCGCCCGACCCCCCCCCCCCCCCCCCCCCCCCTACCAGCGCTACCTGCAGGCAGATTCTCCTCAACACTGATGGGGGAGAAAGAAGGAAAGAACAGGAAGAATGACTGATATTGACTGATGTCTTCGTTCTTTACTTTTCTAAACTTCACGCAGTAATGTGAGATGATAGTACCTTTATAGACTTTGCTGTTGTAAACATATATTTTGCTGCTCTAGAATAAACATGTAGACATATTTAAAATATAAATGAATGATTATCCTGGTCTGGTTTTACTCTTTTTTGTGTAAATATACTAGCAATTATTAAGTAATGAAAAAGAAACCGTAATAGTATTGATACGTCAGACCGCTAAAGAGTATTGATTATCGAGTAATAGCATCAATTCAATCCTAATGATATCTTGCTACTTACAACCAAAGGCATTTTTTTTTTGAATTTGGAGACAACACATAATGATATATATATTTAATGACCTTCACTTTGATGAAGGTCATTAAAGCCGCAATCTGTTTTTAAAAATTCATAACACACACATTTCTACCTACATTTCATTAAGTGATCCACTTCTTCTCTGTAAATCGTCCTCCACTTAGTCCTTTCCTGATCCCCTTCATGTTTTGAATGATCTGAATTGCTAAGGTGTGTATTGGATACCGAGTAACACAGCTCCATGGAGACTTATCTGAACCATGTGGCATCAGAAGATGCTGTGAGGGAGTTGATTAGTGACACATGGGT